GGGGGGGGGGGGGGGGGGGCGCAGCAGCCCTCCCCAATGTGCTACGTCTATATCACGGGTTCTGAAAGGGTCCATGTGGACCGCGGTTTTGCTGGCAGGATGATGTTGCAGACGGAATGCCTGTGTGATGGATATTGAGAACTTGAAAACTTCTATAAGAGTTCCGTGATGCATGCTGAATTTTTGTCCTTGTGCCTTCGTTTCCTTCTCTCTTTCTCTCTTGCTGTCTTCAGTCTTCCTTTCGTTGCTGCTTTCTTTCTTTTTTTCTTGTGTGCTTTCTTTCTTGCTTTCCGTCCTTCTTTCTAGATTTGCTTGGAATAATGTTTTTGATCCGTGGGACAGGTGTCTGTGCTTTGTGATGTTTCGTTGTCTTCTGCTTTCTCACTGATATATTTTTGATCCCTTAACTAGTTTTGTTGAGCCCATCTCCCTTTCCCAAAGAGTGAGGCCTTCGGGGGCCTCGCAATCCAGATTATTTCTTCCATAAAAGCCCAATTTTTAAACAGTTTAACAACCCTCACAACTACAGCTTTCAGGTTCCGGTGCGAAGCTTACACAGAAGTATTGATGGTTTGCTCGTTGAAGCTTGAAATTTCGAGCTTTAAGGCGTGCCACCGCGGGTTTGCGACGCGAACTGGAGGATTAAGCAGTTTGCATGGCTCTCGTGCGTCAATGTGTCGGGCTTCAGTGCTAAAACTCACAAATAAGGAACAAACCAAAATTCCAACACGCATCAGCTCGTAAGGCCGGGCAGGCGTGCATCCAAATGTCGCTGGAGTGCAAACCTTTGTTCGGAGCTCAGGGTCCGGCGCTTGTTGCTCAGCGATTAGGTGCATTTGGGGTGTCAGCCAGGTTTAGAGCTTCGGGCTCAGGTCTCAAAATTTCGGGTTCCAGGTTTTGAATCTCTGGAAGGGCCCGGTCGACTCCAGGCTTGCGGAGACAACCATCTTTCGTGCCTCAGGGATTGAAGGCTTGGGCAGGATTCCTGAAGGGACCCTCTAAGTGGCGAAAAAAACAGACCTGCCTGTTGGAAAGCCTGGAACCAACATGCTCACGGCTTCAATCCTAAACTTCTCAAAGTCCCAAGGCATCCTCAGGGCTGAAGACACTTTGCCGCTTGGGTTGAGGGCTGTCTGGAGCCTGCGTAGGTCCGTCACAACAACCTTGGACAACCCTAACCCCCCTGATGAAGCCTTAAGCAACCCGTACTGAGCCTGTATATTCGGTGAGACACTGGTGAGACCTTCCTAAAGTCACCCTAAACATCACAACCCGTGCCAGGCTTTGAGGCTTCGGCCAGCGATTCCACGAGAAGCCAAACCTGGGAGGTAAACCCGAGAGTTTGCACTGTCAGGGTCGGGTTTCTTGGGATTCTACAAAGGTTCTTGGGCTTTTTAAGCATGTTACTAGACTATATGGCGTGAAAGTGCTTAGGAAGTGAGATATACAAACATGTGGAGAACTGTGGTCTTTGATGGGGTCTCACAGGATGTTGGGTTCTACGACCCAGGGCTTCGGGCTCAGCATAACGTCCTATAAGCTGCTTGAGGCTGGAGTACCTGTAGTGCTAGCAGCAGCAGCAGCAGCAGCAGCAGCAGCAGGAGTAGTAGTAGTAGTAGTAGTAGTAGTAGTAGTAGTAGTGGTAGTACTGGTAGTGGTAGTAGTAGTAGTAGTAGTAGTAGTAGTAGTAGTA